CATGAATTGCATGGAGCTTGGACCTTGAATGTATCATGTCAGTAGATAACGGCCAGTAGTTGGTTTTGATCAACATTGTAAAAAACAGTAGAGAGACTGTGAGTGTGAGTTGCAACAGCAGCAACAAGGCTACTCGAGGAGTTATGGTTCTGTTTGATGATCAATAGTGATTTTCTCTCCAATTCCTCTTGATCCTGGTTTTTTCCCCTTAAGGAATTTTCACATTAAAAAATCTAGTGTCTTGATTTTGTGGATAAGATAATTTTTATTCTTGCTGCTTGATTTATTCTTGAGTTTGATTATTTTCCGTTTAATTACACAGACAGAAGAATGCTGGTTAAATGTGACATTTGGTGAACCCTTTTAAAACCATGTGTTACGTACGTAGATTGGTTTTTGATCTAATAATCCCCAAATACTAAAAAGGCTCACTTTATTTTCGTGATTCCTATTCAAATTCAAGTTATTAACTGAATTGGGTGGACTTTTTGGTAATAGATTATAATTGGACTTGTGTGTACTGTTAACCCAAACAAAGACTTAGGATTTTATTCACTTACATATTTTTTAACTTAACTGAATAAAACAGATGGTTATTGTTCTCAAAAAAAGAAATGTAAATGATTTATTCATATCCACCATAAGTTTGAGAACTTAGTTCAAATCTTAAAGAGATATTATTCAAAAATTATGAAGGGAATGACCTCTGGTATCTTGTGGCTGTGTATAGTTCTATATATAAGAAATGAAATATTAACATTGTAAGTACATTTACTTCAGTTGAATACTGAATACTCTAGAGCCGGAAAGGTTAGTAATAGTATCTGGTATTAATCTAAGGGCAACCAGGCTGAATGCTCTTTCATTTTCGATCCTTGTAGCCACATCTATTGTACGTGCATCCTGATGAACCCATGTGATCCTTGCAGCCGCAAATCATTTTGAATAGTTGGTTTGCACGTTATAATGTTCTAGCTTTCTTTGCTTAGCACCGATCGTTTCAGGGGTTGCACAACAGCACCGTACATTACCTACAAAAATCAACACAAGAATATCAGTAGAAAAGCTAACTGTTAACAGCCCTAAATATGAGCTACATTGTAGTTAGTCTCTGGTGTGCACATATTATGAGTGATAGCTAATATCTGAATTTGATTTTTTTTTTCGTAAAGGAAAATATGTAAAATGAAGCATTTGGATGACAAGTTAACCCCTGAGACTGTAGTCTTCGTATTCTGCAAATGAAACGCTATCTCATTCTTGATTTACAAATTCTCACAACTCTGACTTTAACTGAATATTTTATAAAATTTAAGAAAATCTCATTAGGAAAAGTTAGACATGCAAAGCTAAAAGTGCTTGGTGTGTCCACACTACAACGTGGGTATCGGCACTGCTGTTTATTTCACCCTGCACCTATATATTTTCTTAAGGCTTAACTCGAAGTGGCCACCCTTGACAGATAGAATCGACACCGAACCCGTGCGGTTTTTTTGGATCTTTTTGCAATTTTTTACATAGTAATTTATTAAAAATATTTAAATTCATTTTTTGAAGGAGAGCAATTAATATACATTTAGGTATATGGAGATTAAAGAAAGAAGATCAAAATATTTAAATTTTATTATTATCATTTTTAATATTTTAATTGTGATAATCCTTTCTCTTAATCACCCAAAACCATTAATTGGACGTCCCAAATTGTAACAAGGGGTGAAAGGAGAAGTCAGGACCAACATAATGTTATGTACATTGCGGCAGAATATTATTACCCCACATGTTAGTACTTTTGCTAGGGGCCTGAGCCCAAGCAGCAGCAGCCCACATGTTAATGGATTGGGGCTTTGTGGAAAAATAGGGCCCAACAAAAGTTTTAACCTGGGCCGGCCTGATAGGGCGAATTTTGACTCTTGTCCTGGAGTGGATCAGGATGAGTCTGCATCAGATGGGTACTATTATTCCTCATGGTAGATGTAAGCGGCACCGACGTTTTCACTTCAGGACAGGCGTATACCAATGATGTTATTATCTATTAACAGAGTCATGTTGTGCCTGAATATTGTGGAGGTAGCTTACTTAAATTGTTAACTATATACCAATGATGTTATTATCTATTAACAGAGTTTGTAGTCATGTTTAATTTAAAATTGCAGGATCTTGGTTTATGAGTATGTCAACAATGGAAATTTAGAACAATGGCTTCATGGATTTATGCGTCAGCAAGGATATCTTACTTGGGATGCTCGCATGAAGGTCCTTCCTCGCACAGCTAAGGCGTAAGTCCATTTTTAACGCACAACCAGTAATCTGGTTCTCTTACAAAAATTTAACTTGATATACCTTTTGCAGTCTAGCCTATTTGCACGAGGCCATTGAACCCAACGTGGTGCACTGAGACATTAAGTCAAGCAATATACCGCTAGCGGTGCCAAAGATAATAAAAAATAACTTTAAATTTTAAGTATAATATAAATATATAATTTTTAAAAGTTAAAATTAATTTTTTTTAATGCACCATGATTGAATCCTATCTTTCAAATCATGTTAATAGTGAATAAAATTTAAAATAAATATTACTAAAATTGATTAGAAACATTTATAATCAACATTATTAAAACTTCTCAACTAAACATTCAAGAATAACTAAATATCAAGAATAGTTTTATTATGAAATTTTAAGAATTCTAGAATGATGCTTCTTTAAGGTTTAATTAGAAAAATAAGAATATTATTTTAAGAAAAATTATAAATTTAGGATTCAAAGAGTGGAGTCACGAACATTTTTAAGGAGTAGAGTTCTAAACAAATTAGAAATTTAGAATTAGGGTTATAATGCATGATTAAAAAGAAAAAATTAATTAGAGAATATAAGCATATTTTTTTTTATTTTTTAATTAAATTAATAGAGTTATTATGAAACAAAAAAAATTTAAAATATTACAAAAAAATATATTATATTATTTTATTTTATTATTTTATAATTAGATTTTATTTTAT